CATATATGCCTACATTTAAGGTTCAAGGACAAGTGTACCATTTGATCGGCTCTCTTTTGCCACCCCCTGGACTTCCGCCGTCTTACCTTCAGATTTACTTTGTTGGGGATGACCAAGTCCAGCTTCAAAGAAGGCAAAGTTTATTTCAAGACCTTGATCATGACATGTTGGCCGCTTTGCAAAACATGCTTCAGAATAATAACGCCTACTTGCTCAGCTTCAAAACTACTTTAGAAACATTTCCTGTAGATTCACCTGATTTCAAAATTGTTATTAGAGCCGACAGACGCCCTGCAGGGGACCACCCAGGTAGATACAATGAACCAACAGTCAATGAGGTTGCTATTTTGATGATTGGGGATCCAAGTGACCATCGAGACATCATTTTAAATTCAAGAGAACAGGGTTTGAAACGAATATATGAAACCCACCGATCTTATGATGCCCTACAATATCCCCTTATGTTTTGTAGAGGCGAAGATGGATATAGTTTCAATTTATATCATGTAAACCCGGTTACTAAACAACCAACCACAAAGAAAACTAGCTCACGAGAGTTTTACGCCTATCGCATTATGGTTAGAGAAGGTGAAGCAAATCACATTCATAAATTCAAACAGCTTTTGAACCAGTACTTGGTGGACATGTACGCTAAAGTTGAGAGTGAAAGGCTGCTGTATCTTCGTACGCACCAAAAGGAACTGAGAGCAGAGAATTACATACACCTTCAAGACGCTTTAAGACGAGACGACAACGTAGAAGAAATGGGGCAAAAGATAATTTTACCTGCCACCTTCACTGGAGGTCCTAGATATATGCATTCTCGCACACAGGACGCCTTTTGCTATGTTCGGAAGTTTGGTCGTCCAGAACTTTTCATAACAATGACAACAAATCCAAAATGGATAGAAATCACGAGTGTAATTGGAGAAAGGCAGTCTGCTCACGACCGGTATGATGTGGTATCACGAGTTTTTCATTTGAAGCTTAACTGTATGATTGCTGTTCTTATGAAAGGCCAGATTTATGGCTCAGTTCGCTGCTACATGTACTCTGTTGAATGGCAGAAACGTGGTCTTCCACACGCTCATATCCTGATTTGGCTTGAAGAATCCATTCCTCCAAATAGAATAGATCAAGTCATTTCTGCAGAGCTTCCAAATCCTGAAACTGATCCTGAACTTGCAGATATAGTCAAGACTCACATGCTGCACGGACCATGCGGAGCTTTTAATGTGCGACAGCGCAAGCTTCCCTGTATGAAGGATGGTCACTGTAGCAAAAGATACCCTAGACCATTTGTCAATGAAACGGAAACAGGAGACAATGGATACCCAACATACAGAAGGCGCTCCCCAGATGATGGAGGCCATCATGTCCTAATCAGAGTAGGTAACGATGAAATCCCTATGGACAACCGATGGGTAGTACCTTACTCGCCTGTATTGTCCCGAACATTTCTAACACATGTTAACGTTGAGTACTGTAGCAGTGTAAAATCTATAAAGTACATCTGCAAGTACATAAACAAGGGCAGTGACCAGGCCACATTTGCAGTAAGTAATGACACAGACGAAATTAAAATGTACCAAAGTGGTCGGTATATATGCACATCTGAGGCGGTATGGAGAATTTTATCATTTCCTATACATGAGAGGTTTCCCGCTGTGTTGCATTTAGAGGTCCACCTTCCAAATGAGCAAAGAGTATATTTCCAGCCAGGCAATGTTCGGGAAAGAATGGACCAAAGTACAACTCTTTTGGCCTTCTTCAATCTCTGCCAGACGGACGCCTTTTCAAGAACCCTCCTCTACAACGAGTTGCCCTATTATTACACATACTCTAAACAAAGAGGTTGGTCCAGGAGGCGGAGAGGACAACCAGTACCAGGACATCCTGACGTGAGACAAGATCCGTGCATCGGTAGGGTGTACACTGTCCATCCAAGCTGCAGTGAGCGTTACCATCTCCGACTCCTCCTACACACTGTTCGAGGTCCAACATCTTTTGAGGATCTCAAGACTGTTGATGGTGTGCTCCATCCAAATTTCCAATCCGCATGCCGTGCCCTTGGTTTACTAGAGGATGATGCGTGCTGGGAGGGCACTCTTGCAGAAGCTGCTGTTTCTGACAGTCCCACCAAGTTGAGGGATCTCTTCAGTGTCTTATTAGTATTTTGCAATGTGAGCAACCCTCTTGAGCTCTGGATCAGATTCAGAGATTCCCTCTCAGAGGACTTTTTGAGATCTGCACATCAAGTCGACATTAACACCACCTTTGAAAACAATCCTATCATATATGACCAGTGCCTAGCAAGCATTCAAGAGACAATCACTCGCATGGGAGGACTTGGGCTCGAAAGCTACAACTTACCAGTACCAGCCATAGATGTCAATCAGTTAAACCATGATTATATCAGAGAGACAAGTTACGACCATCCCGAACTCATTAGGTTTATTGAACAGTGTACGCCAACTCTCAACGAGGAGCAGCGCCAAGTGTATGAGCAAGTTTTGACGAGCATAAATGGACAAAGAAACAAGATGTTTTTTCTTGATGCTCCTGGAGGTACTGGAAAGACCTACCTCATAAAGCTGATTCTCGCAAAGGTTAGATCAAACAGTAAGATTGCTCTTGCTGTGGCCTCTTCTGGCATTGCAGCAACCCTTCTGCCAGGTGGAAGAACTGCCCATTCCATGTTCAAAATCCCAATAAATGTAGAGCATATGGACATCCCGATTTGTTCTATATCGAAGAGCGCTCCCATGGCACGAGTTCTACAAGCAGCCTCCTTAATAGTCTGGGACGAGTGTACGATGTCCAATAAACTGACAATCGAGGCCCTCGACAGAACACTCAAAGATATGAGGAACAGTAATAAGATCATGGGTGGAGTGACGGTATTGTTCTCTGGTGACTTCCGCCAAACTCTGCCAGTTGTAGTGAGAGGCACAAGGGCGGATGAAATTAACGCCTCTATGAAAAGATCTACCCTATGGCCAATAATGAACAAACTGGCGTTAACAAAGAACATGCGGGCCAATATTGGAAATGAGGTGGAAGAATTCTCCAATGTTCTGTTAAAGTTGGGAGATGGAAAGCTGGGTAACGTTGATGGAACTATCGATATACCACCTTCTCTTGGTGTTATTGTTCAAACCCAAGATGAACTCATCGAGAAAGTCTATCCAGGAATTGAAGACCTCCCAAACAAGAGCAGTGCCTGGTTATGCAATAGGGCTATTCTCACTCCAAAAAATGAAGTTTCAACAAAGATAAATAAGAATGTGATGTCCCTATTCCTAAGCGAGGACAAGACATATTTGTCGGTGAACACAGTTCTAAGAAATGATGACGCAGTGCACTACCCGGCAGAGTTTCTTGACTCGGTGACAGCACCTGGACTACCCGCCCACGAACTTAATCTTAAAATTGGTATTCCCGTTATGCTTCTAAGAAATTTAAACCCTCCTAAATTATGCAATGGGACTCGGCTTCGAATTCGAAGTCTCCAGCGAAATGTCATAGAAGCCGAAATTCTAACAGGCTGTGGTGCGGGAGAAGTGGTGTTTGTCCCCCGGATCCCCCTCATCCCAAGCAACTATCCCTTTGAGTTTAAGCGCCTGCAATTTCCCTTAAATCCATGTTTTTCCATGACGATCAACAAATCGCAAGGTCAGACACTGTCAACAGCAGGGATTGAACTAGGTGACGCGCAATGTTTTTCACACGGACAGCTGTACGTGGCGTGCAGCCGAGTGCGATCGCCAACCAACCTTTACATACATGCCCCAGGCGGTCGAACCACTAATATAGTATATGAAGAGGCATTAAGTTAGGCAACCTTTTAATTTTTTGTGTTTTTTGTTTTTCTTCACTATTTAATATTTATTTTCAATGTATGTCATTTGTTGTTTTTGAAATTTTGATATTGTAATTTCGCTGTGACAAATGTTAAGCGCTTCAACTCTGCTATCTTTGCCAACTTTGTTATTTAAAACTTTCGAATATTTTTTAAGATTTAAGTTTTTTAATGTATTTTTATGTACTAAATTATGTTAAAATAAATTAATCATTGTTATTACAAAAAGTTTGTAACCTTATTCTTGAATAAACCCGTACGAAGAACGGGTACTCACAGCTAGTTTTAGTATAAAGGTTTTATAATTGATTCAGATTTGCTCTCACTTCTGCATAAAACCTAGAAATGTCAACATTAGAACTTATAAAAAATGACAACACAATTATTGTTACAATACATTTTTCAGTAAGCCAACAGGGAGCTATGCGAGATCTGGTTTAGTTAAGCCATGGTTGTAACATAAACATTATTTTTTTTACTGGCCGATTAAAGAGACACCAACGAACGGTAACACTGACGCCGTGTATACACAATTTAAAATCTCCTTCGCATTCTAAGTAATTTCTAACCAAACTTTTTTTACTTTAAACACTCTTTGATACAGTTTGGAAAAAATATAATATAAAAAAACAACATCCAAGATTAGTTTTACTAATAAAAAAATCAAATGGTTCAATGAAGAAAACACACTAATCAGAGCATAAAAGATGAATGCCTTGTAAAAGAATTATGGGATGAATGTTAGCCTACTTTGTAGTGAACACATTTTACAATAATTTGGAAAAACTTTTTAAATCATGATATTTTAAAATCATAGTGGTATAAGCTCATCGTTGCAATCCTAAGTATAACATTGGTCCTTACCACTAAACTCTAAAGTTATAACGAAAAAAAATATTTTGGAAAAAAATAAAAAAATACAATATGCAATAAAACTATACTAACAATAAATTTATAGCCTAACATATTAGATTTATTACTTGTTAAACACCACACTCATATTAAATATCATTCATACAACATTCATCAAAATGATAACAAATATTTTTTTTAGTTAAATATAAAAAAATTAAACAGCAGTAAAGGTGGTGGGGTGGAAAGCAAGATGGCGTCATATATATAGCAGATCGGGCGCGGTTAGCCCCCAGTACTCTTTCCTCCGTGCTTTTACCGCCAGTGCCATGCGTCGCCTACTGGATTGTCTTTTACTTTTGGTGAGTCAATCAATTATTTTTTTTCTGATTTAATTAGTTAATTTATTCATTTATAGTTAATGAGAAGTCGTAAAGGTTTTTTGGGTAGTTTTGTGTTAAACCATTTTTATGGGATTGTGAAGTAGGGTTTGTTGTTGAAGTAAGGATATTGTAAATTGTTTATGAACTGCATGTATTATTTTTAGAGCATTAAAGCAAACATGTTCACTTGTTTATTCAATTTTGTTAACTTATTAAAATGTATCGTAAGCGTGCAATTGTAAATCTATGTGGTTGAACTTTAAAAATACTTTTGAAGCGATTGTTAAATTTTAGATTTGCAATTTTAAATAAATATAAAGTGTTTGATAGATTTTTTTAATAGATTTATGTTAATGTTTTAATAATTACCTTTGATTTGTTATTTATTTAAACTGTAGCCATTATGTGGCTAAGTAATGTGAAAAATACATGTAGAAACTTTGCTTTCTCGGAATAATAATGTAGTTGTTGTTGTAAGCATTTAAGTTGATATTTAGCAATAGGTTTTATTATTATTATATGTTTTCAGATTTTATTATTCATAATATTGTAGTAAATTTAATTCATACGAAAACAAGTATTTATATAATAAACTAAAGACTAAAACAACAATACTTGAACTTTCACTTTTCGTAGAACAAAACATCATCATTATACGCTGCGGAGTAAACGTGATTCTGACTATTTGTTTTTATTATTAGTCTACATTTTCTTAAAGTTTTATTTTTTAAGTTTACTTCGTATACAGTTCAGCTATATGAGACTGTAGATACTTCCACACTCTTCTGAAACGAATCAATACAAACCAATAACATATATATCAGCAAATCTGTGGGCGACTGATTTGGCAGTTGGAGCACACGCCTTTTGCACTGAAGTCACGGGTTCAAATACTGCCAATGGCTAATTATATCGCATAATGTTTTACTCGATATCAGCCATATTCAGACACGATTAGAGCTTAATACTGTTAAAACACTTTTAAAACTTTATACTAATCATGAAAGCTTTACTGAAAAGTTCCTTTATACGATTTTCCTAAATTCGATCGGTAGAAAGTAAACAAACATTTTTATCAACATTTCCAAGTGACTAGTTGTGTTGTAGACCCTACCTTTGGTGCAAAATACAACACGCCGCGATGGATCTGTTTTACCTCAAACACAGATTATTTATTTGTGTTTTAATGGAAAAGATCGATCAAAAGTGGTATAAGTCATTGATATCTTTATAAGCTGATTGAACTGAGTGGTCAAGCCCTCGGAATGATCCTATGACGTCATACTGAGGTATTTACAGGGTGTGGTCCAATCCAGTGTCTGTAAAGCCGTGACGTTGTATACAGGACGGTATTAGAACGACCAGGGACTAAAGGATATAGCGCGAGGCTTCTGATAGAGAGGTTAGGGGTTCAAATACCACCAAACACCAATTAGTTTCTAAGTGATAATGTTGGTTTTAAGAAAGCAACACGTATCTAAAACGTAAAGAAGTATATTTCCAATAAAGTGAGGGGATTAGTTTTGGCGAAATTAGTCCACTAAAGGAAATACGATGGTTATTAATCTTCTTTTCGTATCAACTATATAGCATCATATAAAACTTTACCTTGTACCACCCTTTTTAGAAGAGTCTTGTTCCGATCAACCACTTATTACCTAAGGCCGTATCCGATAATTCGAATCTACTTATCTAGGAAATGGTCTCATAGGTGTTCTTGTATTTTAGAACTTTCTTCAATAATGACAGTACGATGGTTTACTTATACATATCTCATCAACCATGTGACATGTTAATTTTTATCCTTGAACTATTCAATTTGTCTACATATGTAAGATTCTTATTCCGATAAACTTTAAATTTAATCTAACCTAATCCAAACAACACCAAGATCCTTGAATATTTTAAATACAATCACCTTTCTTTGACGAAACAATTAAGAGCTCTTAACGTGCAAATTTGTCTCAAGTGTGCTTCTTGCATACTTTCTCTCACTTCAAAGCTCCAATCACCGGTAGACAATACGCTTGCGCGATGACGCAATCGTCGCATTGCGCATTGCATTGCCTGTTAATTGTATCAGCTGTGCTTGCGGTTTCCATTTGCTTGATCGGGTGCAAGCAGTTAAGCGCGTTGGTACAATTGTTCTACTATGCGGGACATTTAACCTAGTTGTGAATGTTTTGATTCGTTTTTCATTTAAATTGTTACATGTTAACTCAAACAATTTAGAAGCAATATATTTAAAGTAATGAGTAGTGAAATAGTACTTTAAAGTGTATTTTTGTAACAAGCCTAAGTTAACCAACCAAGATCATCCAATGAATGTTAAGTTATGTATGTCCTCATCTGCGTGCCCATACAATATTATGATTTAATTCATAGCATGGAACATAAAGAAGAGATAACACAACAACTATTATTGATCAACCATTTTCAACACAATATTTACTTGTTCGTTCATTTTTATTTTGCACCACCCTGTACAAATTAAAAGATCGTTAACATGTTGGTCGTTATCGACTAGGAAGTAAATACAACGCTTCAAGGGTTAGTTCAAGGTTAACTTCCTAGGTGAACTTTTGACCATGACGGAATTATTTCACCAAATTCAATTTCTAATTGTTGTTTTTTATGCTAAACCAATCACTGGAGTCTTTTATTAACTGGACAAGGTGCTTACACTCGTATCTGTGGATTTATCATGACAATCGTCCAGATCTAAAACCGCTTCAAGGCCAAGGCTATGTGAAGGGACTTCTGATACTTGTGCACAAAAAGTAAGCAGTTGGTTGTTATGTTTACAAATGAATCGTCAAATTTAAATTTAATATGTCCTTTTTTAGACTCAATTTCTTATAGTTTTTAAGGTTGTAGATAAACCTAATAGTCAGCAAGATGAGATTTAGGTTGTGTTTGTCCTAATTAGCCTGTCATTACCGTTTCATTTAAACCCAAAGGATTTGCATCCACTCCAGATCGAAAACCAGTGTCTGTAAAGCCGTGACGTTGTATACAGGACGGTATTAGAACGACCAGGGACTAAAGGATATAGCGCGAGGCTTCTGATAGAGAGGTTTGTATCTTAGTTCAGTTGAATTTCACCACAATCATTAGGTCCTACCTAAATGTTTGATTTGTATGCTACAAACGTGTATGATTCAAACAGTGATGTTTTCCATTGCTGTAATAACACGTCAGAAGTCAAGAAAGATGCAGTTCACAATATTTGTGCTTTACATCTTAATAACATGCTACAATTGCTAAAAGTATGGTGCTATACTCATATTTACAATAAAGATTCTTCACAAGGATTGCTATAAAATAGAGGTGCCAACCACACACAATTATGGAGAACAGTTTAATTTGTCTATTCGAGTCTCCTGTTTAAGACTTATTTACGGTTTCCATCACAGTTTTCCCGTTAATTAGTGAGTAATGTGGGAAAAGCGCTCTTTCAAATTGAAGGTGAACAAAGTTTATTAATAGCGTGGAAAGTAACCTAATATTGTGAATCATGTTGATTTCCCATGGTAAAAATTAGATCTGTAAGCCGTGTGATGTAGAAATATATCTTAAACTCTCGATAATTCTTTCCACCATAAATCCTCAAGTACACCTTCAAAACGCTGTAAGATACAAAATCATCGTATACATCCGTAAATCTCTGTAGTTATCAATGCATTGATACACAAAATACAGTAGCTGTGAGATTAATTTAACTTTCTCACTCAATTCAATTTGAAATTCTGTAAACCATTTCAAAGTAATGTACGATTCGAAAATATTACCTACAACCACAAATAATATCGGTATTTGCCAATGATGCAATCGAACTCGAGGTTTTACCCAAAATATTTTTTCTAAATCGATTTTAAGTTCTAAAACACGTCTCAAATCCACTGTAGGTCCAAAAACATCTTTTACAACCACCGATCACCGATCACTGGTAACTATCAGCATTATCTTTGACGGCTCATTCTAACGGAGAGGCATGTAGAATGTCAGTGTATCAAACCGTTAACACTTTACAACATGAAGCTTGAGCAAGATAGGTGAGCCAAGCTACCGGGAATAAGCAGGAAATTGGCGCCCTTTCACTCGTGTTTACGCGCCAAAACCGTTCACCTGCCACGTGCTGCGTACATGATGTTGGTGTTGATGTCATTGTGGGAAATTTGGAAGGGTCACTTTCGAAAAGTCTTGTAAGACAAGGCTACTTTAAGTGAAAAGCCAAATCACTGGTTCACTTTAAGCTAATTAAATGGTGAGGCAAGACTTGCAGTGTCAAAATGATAGAGGACTTCTGTTAATTGTTGAGTGAACAATTGGAGAACTGGAGCTGTTTGAGGAATTAGTCATTTCAGGAACCGATGCTTCTAGGTGTCACTGTACCTGATTTGGGTTGTTATCAGTCTAGCGTCAAAGTCTCGCTTCTCTGGTCTCAGTGCAAGAGGGTTCGTTCCCCTAAAGCGGCCTACACACTACACGTGCATTGCACGCCGTGCCATTTTTTTTATTGGCACGACGTGCTTTGCACGGCACATTTTGCCCACACACTTGATCTTCAGTGTAGCCTGCAACGTGCTAAATTACATCGTCTGTTCGCACAAATGAAATGCAGAACAGAACACACATATGTTTTTAGGACATTGGACATGATTAATTGATTAATCATTAAAAATAGACACAATGCAGCAGCACTAAGCCACCTTAGTGCCTAGGTTAGTCCAGACCTTGCACCTCGCTGCCATACAGATATATATGCTGGCAGGGCACTTGGTTCACAATACTGTGGTGGAGGATGTATGCTCTATGATATATTATATAGAGATCTATGACTGCGTATCGGCTCACGCATCACATACAGCGCGCGATCCATTGTGTTATAATCTCGATGGTCGTGCCAATTATCAATTATCAATTATTTAAGATGGGGACGCCACTATGTGCGTATTTAATCTGTGTTGCAAATGGCC